GATGTTAGGCACCAAAATAATGTTGCAGCTGGAGGACCATTATTATAACTATTATATTACTGTTAATACTTAGTAATGTCGTCATCTGGCACGGTGGTGCAGACTATTAGTGCAATCGGAGAGTTTCCAGCAACCTTGTGAGTAGTGTGTTACAGCTATAAGTTCTTAAACCTGTTTTGCTTGGGTTAACAGTATTTGATAGCTGCTGACTCATTAACGCGGTCAGTAATGCAGTGGTCGATCAATTCTTTGCTGGGGTGACAAATCTAGCATGTGAGATTTAAAGTAGGCAACTCGGAACGAACTCACTTTTCCAGTTTTGGGTTTCGCAACCTATCAGGAAGGTCAGATTCCTGAAAGTAACCTCAGAACACCCGGAATCTACTACTCCACCAAAATCTCAACAGGAAGCCAGCAAACATCCAGGCCAGTCAATCATTCAATCAATTTAGCAAAAGCTGGTGAGTGTTCATGCACGCCACAGAAGCACGACCGAATGTGATCAGCGTTCAGGCGTGTCATAGGGGCACGATCGATGTTGATGGGTGATCACTAACGCCTATCAGACAGCCTGGATCAATGTCAGAAAGTCCCCTTTAAATAGCGTGGGGCCGTTGTGATTTTTGCTCTCGCACTCGTTTGTTCGGAATCTAGCTGTTGTGTTCCCTTCTGTGAGTCTTTTTTCCGGTAACTAGGTACTAGAGCGGGTCAGCAGCAGATACCACAGATTGGCCAATCAGCAGATATAACGGAATCCAATCGGCTTTAGCTGATACGCTTGCGAATCCCACCTTTCGTGTTTTCAGTGATGGACAAGTCATTATGGTAACCTTATATCAGTAGCTTGACATTTGCTGTATTGTTTCTTTCAAATTACGCGTCCGCTTGAAAGGCGTAAAGCGTGGCAGTCAATTTTTTGAACAAATCTTCTGGTTCTACATTCAGGGCATATTTGCTTGACCCATTTTCGCACACGTGATAGGCTTCGATCGAATCACACACGCAATTATCTACCTTGATCTGTTCGATATTGACCAGTTGTAGACGCTTCAATGATCATAAACTTCACTGTATTTCAACGAGACCCATAGTTTATCTAAATCACTTTGCTTCACTTTTCACGGACCGTTCTTTTGTACCGTATTGTTTGTGGCTGTATTGTGAGAGCTTACAGTCATCGAAAGGCACCAGATGCAGGTAAACGATTAGATGTAATGTACAAAAAACAGTCAAACGGGCGCTTTGTGGTGACGGAACATGCACACGTCGTGTTCTTACACAAGCCCTCTTACTCAGGTCCTCATTCATAGCATCAGAAGCACAGGATAGAAGAATTTCGCAAGCAGACAGACGCGCCAAAAGCTTCCAGTAGATCATCAGCCCTGCAGAAGTTGGACGTTCTCGGACCCGAAAACCTTGAGATATGTCCCAAAAACTACTCTTTTTCCAAAGAATTCTTCATCGGCCGGCTTTTGGGCCTCGAAAAACTGTGCACACCATTCATGATAGGAGCTGCTCCATCAGCTATACAGCCTTTAACTACATTTCCTGCAAATCAGAAGGTTAAAAATGTGATAAAAATAGATTTCTAGGCATTCGTTTTCAAGATGCGTGCACTGAAGTTGTCCGTATGATTACACACCATGGCTCTATTCAACTTAGTGTTCTCACTATTACGAAATTTAGAGTCGGTTTCATGGTTGACACGGAAACACGTATCTACTTCCCAAAAAAAAACCAACCACATGGTCCTGTTGCCCTACTTACGACATACTGTGTGGACGTAGGTGAGTATGATCCAGTGAACCTCTGACCAGTAAGTAGAAGCTGTTCACATCAGGATCAAGCATCCACCGATTAGTTTGCGAAATTGTGCACACGAGTTAGACGTGATCATTTGTTACCAGCCAGTGACAATATATTAAAAAGAAACTAAAAGTTAATCAGTGACCACAGACGGCTTGCTAACCACCCGTGCCTCGAACTCGGTCGGATATAAGGGAAGGCCCAGCCGCACCAAGACAGGGGCCACTCTTGAGGTTTAGCAACTAGGCCGATTACGTTATTACTTACCAAGGTCAAAAGCTGTTATCAAAATATTCATAACAGTACGAAGGGTTTGGTAAATCTCATTTGAGCTTTCGTCTTGCAAACGAAGTCGTTCTACGCTAGAAAAAACTCAGAAAACTGTACAGCTGTTTCTTCGGGTACATCTCTCGCGCTACGGGACGTAATCTCAAGTGGAAATAACATATCTTTCACACTACTATCACTTTGTAAGTAGGTCAGAGGCGAAATAATTGCACGAAACGAACACATTCATCGAGGAGGCAGTCAACACGTCAGATGGATTCTGTGACCGAAGGCTGGGTCGTACTATATCCTGTCCAGCTGCGATTTAATCACGATGTTGATGAGTCAGGCGCGCGTGACAGAACGGTTAAGAGTTCAAACTGCTCCCAGACTGGTGCACACCAATGATGAGGATGAAACATCTATACAGTGCTTCTCGGTTTCTCAGTTTGAAAAGGCTACATATACATATACACACATACACAAATGCCCAAATTGAATTTGGTTAAAATCACTGAACATGCTCTCTCAAGTTCCCCTAAACGAAAAAACTCTATTACCCACCAAATATGAGCGGAGAGGAAACTTCGATAAAATCTGCGACCGTCGATCATTTACGCTCAGAATGGCAGATGATCCTGGCCATCAATAATAGTGTTCACTAGTCGATCATCCAAGGTTAGGGGCATCCCTCTCATTGTCTTCGGGGCAAGGTAACTACTTATTTTACGATTGATCAGGTGGTCACAAGACAATGGTACATCCAGATATTGGCAATTTCTCACAAACTTCCAGAAAGAGAAAAGTACCATTGAAAACAGCGTTCCCGTACTATTTCGAGACAGTTTCACAGCGTTTAATCAAACCAGATTGCGCACCAAACAAAAATTTTTTAAGATATTTCAACAAATTGAGGGCTCATTAGTAGCCTGGGTTGTTGGCAGTAATATGAGCAATCGGATTCGTGCGAGTAATAAAAAAATTCCATCTGATTTGAAATCACTTACCTAATGGTAAATTGCGCGTATGATTTCATTTTTCTGTTAGATCCGTATCACGAATACATTGTCTTTTCCATTTCCTTAGTGTGTCAGAGTGCCGCCCGCGGATGAGTTCACAATTCATGGATTATGGTGAGTGCTTAGAATATTGAACGACTGGGTACCATCGGAGTATACTTGAACCTTACAATCTACTTTGTGTGATACATGTTTCCTGCTTCGAATATTACATGAGTGGAATCGCAATCATAAACGATGGCCACAGAAGCGAAGATTCACTAACTCGCTTCTCTACACCTCTATTTGAGGAGTATACAACAGCAAACAGATATTTCCGGAAGCGTCCTGTCTTAAAGTATCTTAGCCATAAACAAAACCTCCAGCGTCCTACGTGGATAGAGCATAGCATATTGTGGGATGTGAACAGTTCTTGAAGGCGACTACTCACAAGGTTTCTGAAAAGCTTTCGACAGCCCTCGGCCGAGTTTCCATCAACTATGTGCTCTATTTGAACAGAAAATGCACGAAGTTCGCCAGCTAAATTTGGCTTACACGGGAGACTAACTGAATCACCGCTACATTTATCTTTTATGGAGGTCCTTCACAACTGAATGAGCCGCCCCAGGCTGAGGGGAGTTGTTTTATTTGTCAAATCGCAGTATTGCAGGACACTAGTCGTAAGTTTGCCACAACTCCCGATTAGTGTAAACTACCGTTGGGATCCTCTCAGCTGAACTGACAGTCCCGGTACACAGTTAAAAATCCCAAACTAATCTAGATTTTCCGCAAAGACGGTTATGCTGCACGTCATGTTGCAGGCACGCCATGTTGTTCGCAGTTTTAGTTTCCGAAAGTGTGGCAACTCACACTTTCAAGCGGACAAGTCCGGTGACCTGTTCTCGGACAGCATTCATAGACGCTTCCTATTTGAGTAGATCGGCTAACTTTCTTCTGAAGGACAAGTGTTTGAGTTTAGAAACTGATCAAAAGCCACCAATATGAATGTCACTTGTACGATGGTCGACGTGAAAGTTTCGTACTTGGTCAGCTCATCCAGATTTGGTGCTCTCGAAACTTTAGAGTTCGCTTGCTAAGCGCTCGCGTGATCTGAGTACATGAAATCGCACATCTTCAGACATTGGACTATTTCTATCGCCTTTGCCAATTTTGCCGGGGCTTCACTTTCTGAAGCATCTCGTTTGTTGAGATATGGGTAACGGTGGATACTACTGATGGGGCACGCGAGTAGTGTTTTCTCGTAAATCCGCTTCGCCGTCTTCTGCGTCACACGAAGGAAACTTTTTTTAACTGCCTAATTGCTATGCCAACGGAAAGAAGCACGAGGGTTGAGGTACTGCTAGCCTGTCCATAGACAGGGGGCGTAGGGAGGTTTGTATATAGTTCAGTTAACTTCCAGCGACTTTACCCCGTAAATCGAGAGCATAAAATATCCGAATTCTACTCCGTTTTCAAGGTCGTGGAAAACTATTCCACAATAAATTTCCCACTAAAGTGAAGACTCAAAGTTGAATTACGTTTTTTGAACAATGCGTGGGATACCCTCTGTCTTGAAGAACATTTCCGGGCGTTTTTTTAAATCATCGAAAATATTTCAACTGCTTCAGAGTTTTTTCCCACCACTGTAATAAAACGTTTATTCGTAATTGGAATGAATCAAATTTACAGCACACAGACTCTCTCAAGTTTCGGGTACGGTCTTGTGCACTCTATCGAAGTAATGTTTTTTGAAGTTACGCGGGCGGAAGTGACCAGAACTCATAGACGGTCTTTCATTTTTAAATTGTCTTTTAGTTTTTTGGATGTTCTTTTTCAGCCAAGTAGCAAAGTGTACATACTTTTTGCATAAACCACGTTTTCTGATGTTTTCCCCTTCAGGCCTAGTTTGTGGCCCGATAAACAACCTCGAGATTGTCCCGCGGCGACCCCTTTCGACCGAAATAAGTTAAAAGTAAGTAAGCTAACTTGGAGGCTGTTTTTCAGGGGACTGGCGTTGAATTTTATAGCCGTCTCTGTGCTTTAATTTTCCAGATTTAGTCGAGTTTAAAATAGTAATCGATGTGACCAAGCTTCGAGTACTGAATAGATATTTTTAGGGTGATGTACTCGCGTTTATATCGATTTCTTACAGTAGAGTATGTTGTCTCAGGTTTTTCTCCGTAGAAATATATTCTTTGTTTCACATTTTTCTCATTTCACATGCTTTGGCAATAAGCCAGCTCTAAGTCACCTTGAAGCACAAGGGACCATTTCTACCTGTCCCTCCGAATATACACCTGGTTTCACTAGAGGGGTGCAATTGGGCAGTGTTCTCCCCTACCTTTTTACCGAAGCCGAGCAATAGAACACCTCAACCAGTTCATCACACCTGCTCAAAGCTGATGTCCACTCATAAGACATTTTGGAGTTACGTAACCGAACATCGGTATGTCACATGAGCTTATCCAACAGTCTGAGATATTTGAATGAGGCAAAATGTCCTTTTGACTGATCGTATCCTAGTCATGTTTACCTGTGTTGAGGAATAACATAAAAATGGTTGGCAATTTTAGCGCACATCAATATCATTCCTGTTTATCATCCTCGTCGTCGTCAGCGGAGACGAACATCTCATTATCCACGCCGAGAGATAGTCCAAGTGGTTAGAGCGCAAATTCACTGACCGGAAGGCCCGTGGTTCGAACCCGACCCCTGCCCCCCGACTTCCTCTGTCTAGGCTTGGGCAACCTGGCAGTATCCCAGCCCTCATGCAACTGTAGCATGGCAGCTAGGCACCGAAAGTGTGCAACAGCTGAACGATTTTTCACACCGATTCTTCACTCCGTGAATCCGCAAAACTCCATCAATTTTAGCAAAGGCGTGACAGCGGAGGAAAAAGTAAAGAGACCCGGTTGGAATTGGACCTGATTCTAGCCCGCCGCAGGCATTCCAAGATGCCCACACATTCAACGCCCAGTCAGACATCACGGAGAGAGTGACAGTACGAGCGTCGCTGACACCACTTTACACAGGTTTCTTCCAACGCCTCCAGCCAGAAAGGGTCACGTGGATTCCTTCCTGTAAACCGGGCTGCATCGAATACAATCGATTCATTTCATTCTAACACACTCGTGGGGCGGGTCTCACGTAGTTGACCTCGCAGTTGCCTCTATTCCGAGGAACACCCGGAGAACAATACTCGTTTCAGTAGACTAGGTTTCAAAGCACCCGCCAGACAGCCAAGCACTCGATGTCAGCAGGGCTTCTGGGATATCGACGATCAGCTACATGGGAATGCCTTAAATTCTAGGAACCCAATGGCCATACAACAATAGATCCAGTGCCGCAACCAGGTACGCACTCCCCTTGGGAACTGTGATATTGGTTCTGACACCACAAGAGACGCACAGTGGAAAACATTATCTCTGTCTTTCAGAATCCTGCACTGACTTTAGTAGACTTGGCTTTGCCAGGTATAATACAGCTGCTAACATTCAGCGCTTTTTCTGAGTTACAGTCAGTATACGCTGTCTGCATTTCATCGGTACAGGAACACCAAGAAGTTGATTTAATGGCACTTGTCTTATTTGCTGGTTCCCAGTCGTCTCAAGATCCGGAACTTTCGAACCAGAAACAATGTGAACATCGGAATTTTGAAGAGCCTCCAGGGACCGTGTTGTTATTCCGCTGGTGAGGGACGAAGCTGAACAGAAATGGAGCCAGTAAACCTGCCTCCCCTTAGTAAGAAAGCTTCTGAAATGTTTTTTGAGCTGTCACACGCGGTCTGTTTATTTGAAAATGTTTGCGCCAACCAGGATGGTACCGTCAAGACATTTAACAGTTTTACACAGCTCTTTTCTTTTTCGTTTGGTTGCTTCTTGAATGGAAAACTTCTCAGAGTGGGTAGTCTTTCTTTACGTAGCTGCTGTCTTCAACCTGGAAAAGACTCATTGGAATGCCTTCACGATATCCGCTCTCCTAGAGGGACGGTTGCAATTCAACTTCTCTACAGGAAACTAATTTATTATTGTACCGTCTGACAAACGGTCCTCCTTGAAGATTACATCTTCCAAGTGAGGTAAAAAAAAACTGTCAAAATGCTTGATTAATATATATATTGCAAAGTTCCACTTCCCATTTCAGCCAATCCTGGAAAATTTACGAACAGAGTGGCCAGATTTCCTTTCTGCGAAGGACCCGGATGCATTCTGGTGAGACATTAAAAAAAATCAGTACCGACCTGATTTATTGACATTTTATTCACTTTTTCGAAGTAGTGCAGGCTGTTTCTTCATAATTGGACTTGTCAGCAGTGCTCATCTCCAGAAACCACTAACCTCTCGGTTAGTGGTTTGAACTCCGTTCAACCGTGAGTGGCTGGTGTGATTAGCTTTCCGTTAGACAGGACAAAATATCACTCGTCTTTCAGTCACATAAACCACATCACGTGGACACATCACGTGACCTGCTGTTTGAGTGAACACTTCTCAGATGTCAGTTTGGCTCATTCTTGCGAAATGCTCCTCCTCAGCTGCTGAAAGCTTGCTGGTCATGTGAAGGAATTTGGTGTTTTTTCCATTTAGGAATTTGCCCCACAATTGAAACCGAAAAGTTGCTCGTGGCAGAAATATCACACTAACAGTCAGTTTCCAAACACTCCCCTACAGTTTCACGAGATGTTAACTGTTGACAAACCAGGTAACAGTGTAACAGTGATGCTACTGATGGGGGGCATGCGAGTAGTATGTTTTCTCGTAAATCCGCTTCGCGTCTCTTGAAAAGCAGAGATCTGTTGCGGAATTTATGGAGTCGCCTTTTTGCTTCGATTTGAGGGAGGAATGATTGGAGTCGATGAATATCCAGGAAAGTACAAGAAGGCGCGTTCAGGAGAAGATGGATGTTCAGTTTTTATAAATAAGATGAGAATGAGAGTTTTGCTTCCCTGTCCAATAGTCTGCAACCGGTCAGTTGGCATTTTCTAATAAATAACTCCGCAGCGAAGGCCTCCTTCCTTTCACCAGTAATGTCTGGCTTTCCAGTATAGATTGACTTCACTTAGATGATGAAATCTCAGTCAAAAGTTACCAAACCTCTTCGTTCTGCCTTCAATTTTTAAGAAAGCAGTGAAACGACAGTTTCACGAAGCGAATAAAGATTTCATCTGAGGTGTCATTAGTCAGGGCCCAAATCAACGCCTGACTATGTCGCTGAAAATGCAAACTTGTCAACATACATTCATCATGGTAAGATGAACTCTTGTCACCAAATTCTACCGTATATTCACAATTTCTCTCTTCTATCCGTCCACGCCGTGTGAACTTACGTCTGATGGACTGCTTGTTGAATCGGTTATCAAACTTTCCAGCACTGTTGGCCCGAAATTTCCTCACAAACATGCCTAAAGTCATACCCACTTCAGGTTATGTTTATCGCGAGAGGTGAATTTGTCGATCCGTTCCGACGTAAGTAAGATCACTGACAACGCAACTTCTTCCGGTGGCCTCAAAACCGGCCAATCCAGGCATGCCATTCACTCTATAACAAAATAATAAGTTTTCAGCTGCGTAACTCCCATGCTACCTGAAGGGAGCAGGACGGCTTTGATACTGCCAAGTTGTTCAGAGCCCTCTAGGAGCGAGTGATCGATTGACGAGCTCTATCATGTGCCTCGTCAACAAAAGCTGGTTGCTTTCTAGTTGATTTTGCTCTATGGAGTCAATGAGTAGCTCAGAGGTGAAACTTCCTTCTGAGAAGTCTTCACTCGAGGAACCGAGAACCAAGACGATGTGATGTGGTTTTCCGTTACTCAGGAATAGGTGAAGCTAATGGGAGCAAACCATGTTGCTTAACAACCTATGTTGTCCAAACGGCTAAGTGTTTGACCACTGGCCGGAAGAACGCGGGTTCGAATCTCCTAACTCAAGATTTATGAGACGCGCACTGTTGATAAACCCGAATAAGGATGAAACAGCTGTACAGTTCTTCTAGTCTTTTCAGGATGGAATAATTTCACTTACAGGAGGAAAGCTTTATTAAACATTACAATACATTCTAAAATACCATGAATATTCTGTTGAAAGAAGGTGTATAAACTGAGAACGAATTCGATGAATGCTGTCCACGGCTATTCAACTGTTCGCTGCACTCGGCGGGCAGTGATTCACAAAAATCCCTTCGGTTACTGACCGTACGGCAGCATTTGGGCTGCACACCTAGAGCGTTTGAATGTCTCTTTGTTTGTTATGTAATGTAAGCTTGAATCACCACCTATTATCGATCGACTGATTTTTTCAACCTACAGGGAACATGAGTGGTACAAACACGGGAGATGTGCCGTCGAGGACGAATTGATCAAGGATGAGCTCGGCTATTTCAACACCTCCCTAAATTTGCATTGGAAACTTCCCATTATGAAGTGAGTGTGCAGTTCACTGTGTCACATTTTAGAGATGAGATCACGAGGTCATTTTTTCGACACACTAGCCGTGTCTGTGACGAACCACCCTCTCAAGACGTGTAAGCTTTATCAGGAAACTGTGGAGCTCCTCTAGGATGCCACCATCCTCCTGATAGGATGGAATTTGTCAGTGTTGTGGATCGATATCTCAAGTTAGTAGTGTGGATCGATATCTCAACCGATATTTCTTCCTGTAGGTGAAGACAGTCTGTGCCGAAATTTGAGAACATCGTACTGTTGCTTCATTCTTATTGAGAATCATCAGTAGTGTACAGCACACGAATCTCCGGCTTTGTCTGAACTACTGATTTCTCGGCTAGTAGTTTGGGTTATCAGCCGTTCGTGGCCGAACAGTTGTTGCCAAAATACTGACCTGGAGGATGGCAACTCGAAGTCTAACAATTGCGTTCCGAAGAGTGCGCAGTGCTCGCGATTTGCAGTAAGTGTAACACAAATGTACTGTGCTTCTCGACATTTTACTTACGGGACGAAATTTAGAACGAAGGGATGAATTTGCTGTTTTTTGAAGGGTTTATAATAAGAGTAAATCGATAAAGCAGAAAAGTAGGTGACGACGATACACAACATATCTCAATACTCTCGGAAGGATCAGTCAGGCGGAAATCTTGGCTTTACCCCAAACAGGATTCTTCCTCCTAGTTTTTTCAGTTAATTCGGGACTATCTTCCACGATTCTAGTGAATAACAAGTTTCCGCCCAGGACATCAGACTTCTCATTTCTACCAGGTAGTTCCAATGTCATTTATCCTATATTAATTTCAGCTTTCTTGAAAGAACACTCATAGGGGTTACTGATTGCTTTTTCACCACGATTAGTTTTTGGTCCTTGCATACTGCACCATAAACGAGCAGTTCAGCTCGGATCCCCAGTTAAGTCTCCCCTCAAAGCCAAATTGTGACCGAAAAGTTATCCGTGATTCCCTGATGATAGCACTGGTCGTTACCGTCTGCGGCTAATGGACTCATAGCGTCATGCGTGCACTCGAAACCGCACAAGTTTCATTCGAACAATCTGTACCACACAAAAACGAAACCAATGATGTTTTTCCCAGAAGAGTAACCGCAACTCTGTTTCAGGGTGTCAACTGCATCCACAACGGCTGTGTACGTCTCACAGAATCCTCACCCACTCTGAAACTTTTAAAATATCTGGCTGGCAAATATTCCAAGTGATGTTCCTCTTGATACTCAAGAATTTTATGCAAACGCCTCCTTATACTTTTAGCGATTTCTTCCTACTGTAGATTACTCGCCGAATCTGGGATCCATCCAAGTGACTCGGAACCTCTGGAAGTAAGAACTTCTAATATGTTTGGCGTCTTTGGGCTAAAATCGACTCCTGCTGGTGATTTTACCGACCTAGCTATCCTACTGTTTTTATTCTAAGTAGTCTGATAAAAGTAGGTTATAACGAGGGACGCCAGTCGCGCCCATATCGGATTGTTGACATCTAAATTATTTTGTCATGATTTCGAAATTGCGCACTTTCGGTAGACTGTAGTACAGTCCCCTGATACATCAAGCGACCATCGTGGACTAGAATCTGGGTGTTTCATGGCTTCGGGCTTTGCAAAAGCTTCGATAAATTTGACCTGGACATTAGTTGGCTCGTGTAAACCAAAAGATATCCTGAGTAATTTAGAGCTTGATGTCCGAAACCTGACATACGTTGGTGGCCTACGGTGTGGCTTGGTGGTGCATAAGAACACCAAAATTTTTGGATACTGCCCAATTTACAGCGAAGGGCGAATTCGTTTACTGACCAACAAGCATTTACAGGCTATGAGATAAAAAAATACAGAGTAGTTGCAAATGTCAGCATCTCCCTACATCCTTTTGAACTCTCCCGGAGGTGGAAGAGTAGTGAACAAACCCTGCGAAATGGTCCACTCATTTCCTTCCATCAGATGGAGCTTTAAACTACGTGGCTATATACTACTCGGAAGTAGCATGCGCCTTCCATGTAATCTGTCCTCACATGACACTGTCATCGGAAGCTCGCGGTATAAAAATTCAGTTGAAACTTGGTCTTGAAAGAAGACGGTCGACAGCAATCAAGCAGGGATCACAGTCATGTACCGATTTTGTCAGGTTCCCTACAATCCCCAACATCTTGGCTCAGTGCTCAAATACCCCAAGTGTGATGCAATCAACCCTAGTGAAACTTTTCGCGTCATTTAAAATATTTCTCCAAGACCACTGAGGTAGCCTGGAAACGGCCGATGTCATTGCAACGTGTCCACAAGATCCAGCTATTTGGTGTCAAGTGGCGCCTTGGGAATGCAAAGAAGTCCCTACAGATTTACTCGTCACGCAGACGCTGTTGTTTCCGATCGGTTGGCTCTAATCGACTGAGAAACATGTGTGTTTTAATTAAATCAGAGAAACGTTCCAGTAATTGTTTTAAGTTGTCTACCGCTTACACATATTCACTAAAGTGCACCTAATGTGCGCATAAAATGCCCTTTATGTGTTTGACCCGGTTAAAAGAAACAGAAGAGCTGACGGAAGATCTATGTGTTTTTTTGATGTCATACACCTTCCATGACGAGTTAAGTGGTTTTTTCGCTCTTGACCGAAGGCGTTGCAAGAAATGGCAACTAATCGGTGTCAGCATCGTGCTTCCTGCCAGTTTCTTCCCAGATTGTCCGACTGAGATGACGGAACCTCAGAATGGTTGTGGGTGACCTCGCACCATGATCATTTCTCACCCAGTTTTCTATTTTTTTTCATTTTAAGCCTGTAAACATAACCAAGTAAACGTGGTCCTGCAGCTGCGAAGTATCAGTGCCAACTTTGGTGTCGCTGTTGATAAAAATATGAGTAGTAATAGCGTGAGCCTTCTCTTAATTGTCCGGACTCGTTAGCAGCGAGCTTCTAACCAATATCTGGTGAGATTCGAATCCTTGATTTCTGAGCTGGTAACTGGGCTAGGTGGGTGGCGGATTCACAGAGAAACAAAAACGCTACTAATCTTTCACCACGAATTCCAGGCCACGTGATCAGCTGTAAACTGGCTCTTCGACGGATGAACGCGGCATCTGGAAACCAGTGAAAACAGCTCAGGTGAATTAGTCTTACGCCACTGATCCTGACGCTCCTCGCCTCTGAGAAGTTATCTGTACAAAGAATCTGTTAATATACAACCAGTCGGGCCCGAATAAAATCTTTATATGTAGAGTTTCTTTTAGACCGGATCTCGCTGAGGGTAGCACTGTTACCCGACGGCGAACTTTAGAAAAAAGCCGTGCAAATTTTTGAGGCAACTTGAGACCATTGTATGATTTTCCGTCTAATTTTTCATGTGCTGGTGATCACTCATCCGGGGAGTGATCAACTCCGGCACGCAAACTGAACTGTGTTCAGTCGAATCGGGTGGAATCATTGATCTCTCTTTCGATCCTAATTTGAAGTGAGCACAATTCTACACGACTAGGCTTTTCGATATAAACAGATATTGCCTTGTAGAACGCTATTCACATTTAAGATCGGTTGCATGCTCACAATTTTTTTATACTCGAAACTTCTCTCCTTATGTCTTGTTTGATTAAAGAAACAGAAGCTATTGGACGCTCTTGAAAGACACACGGGTGTCAAACCGGTATTGCAGTGTATGAAAAAGCATGTGAGTTAAACGTCTTTTCTTAAAAAAAAACCCATAACTTAGACATATTGTTAAGATTACCACACACCAGAGATATAGTTGGATTCTCCCATTAGAAGTAACTCAGTATGCAGATGAAAGCATCTGACGAAGTTTCATAGTTTTTTGCAAGAAATAATGAGTACGGCTGTTAAGCCACTTTACGGTGATTTGGTACCTTGAGCCATACTCTGTCACACAGTTCCGGCAAAAACTTAGGTAGATTGCAGGTTTTTTTTCTAATTTTGTCCCTGTTTTGTGGGGATATCTGAGAATCTGGATGGCTATGGTAGTCACAAGATTTGAGGCGAATGGAGACACTTATAGCTAAACGCTTCCCTGTCAGTTCATCNGGCTTATATAGCTTATAGCTTATAGCTTATAGCTAAACGCTTCCCTGTTCAGTTCATCCGAAAGGAAGCCATTCTGCGTGTGGGGTTTCTCACTTAGAGACATCAAGACGAAGGTCTTGACGCACAACCCGCTTGTATAGAACCATCGTCCCTACCGTGGACGGAACAGTTTTTTCACCTGTGTGCTTTCATTACTGTAGAACGAGCGGTAAACTGACTTTGACTGGTTGAGGACGAACTATTTTACGGTATGTCGTCTAGTCAGCAGACGTGCGAGTTGCTAAAATTATCGAATATGAGTAACTGGAAAAGAGCGGTTTTTTGCACGAGTATTTTGCTGGCAGGCTTGTGCTCAAAGCCTATCGTGCACCTTGATCAATATCTGCATTGGTAATCAAACAAACACCTCTGTTGAAAAGTCCCCTTCTTAGATCCTTTAGGTCTATATCTAACAGGTTTCTGAGTGGTATGTCAAGTCACGGAACCACCGACTCTGTTTTACTTTGCTTCCCATCTTTTTGGTCAGGTTTTCTGAAGCCTAAATGGGTTTGGCAACGTAAAAGATTATAGGGGGCCTAGAGTTACTGATTTTTTAGTAATACCCTTCACTACTCAATGACCGTAGCATTCGGTGAATGTAGAATGCCCATTTGGTGTAAATAGATTAAAACCACAGGTCACAAGGCAGATTCTCCGCAAGCCTACTACGTGAGCCCTCGCAAACCTTCGACGGGAATGATATTTTCAGACAACTTTACAGTTTTGACTGAGATTTATCCCAGTAAGTTAAGTCAAACTATACTGGAAAACCAAAAATCGTAGTAGAGTTGGCGAATATACACTCATTTGCAAACTAATTTGGTTTCACCTGGAACCGAGGTGAATCTCTCGTTTGTGATGTTTTCAGGCAACTGAATGCGCTGCACCAGGCCGCCTCATGTTTCAGTCGCTACGATATTTCAGATATCGTGATACATATATATCCGTGTAATACACTACTCATAAGGTTGCTGAAAATCCGTCGACAGCCCACGACCTGTTCCGGCCTTTTTGGGGCTCATCAGGAAGGCGCAGTCCCCGAGTTTCCGTCAACCTTATGTTCTACCTGAAACCAAATTGCACGAAATTAGCGAACTACACTCATCACTCATTTTAGTTTCAAGTAGACCTTAAGGTTGACTGAAACCCGCGGACTACGCCTACCTGATGAGCCCCAAAAAGGCCGGAACAGGTCGTGGGCTGTCGACGGATTTTCAGCAACCTTATGAGTAGTACGTTACAAAGATATACATAGTAGAGTTACTTCATCCTCATTGGAAATCAACAGCAGTGCGCATCTCATGAACTTCGAGTGGATATTCATCGCGATACTGATTCACGGATTTCGGCAACTCCAAATTACCGCCACAAGGTCGTGGGTTCGAAACCCCTTCCACTGCTGTTTCGTTACTAATGATTCCAGGTAGGAATGAAACAGCTGTGGAGTGGTTCTGGGCTTTTCAGCATAGACTGGGTAATGGAAATTCCCAAATCTACATTTAATTAATTACCGCCCCAGGGACACAAACTACCGTAAGATCGGCTCTGTTTTGCTTTTTGCAGGTGTTATCCAATATTACCACGCGTTTTTGACCTTGCTCTTTCAGGGAGAAGCTGCCAAACTTTTGGAAGTCCGCATCTGTTTCAACCCCAAACTGGAGATGATCAGCTGTTACCAGCAAGGCATGAACGAAGGTGAAATCGATATCAATGCTGGCCGGAAAATAGAAGGCTCCATGCCATGTCCTGACAAGCTCATCCTACCACAACACCCAGAAAGCTGAGGGGAATGAAACTCTTATTCTATCCAATGAATTTGCTCTTGCATTTTTTGGGAACCCACCTAATTTTGATCAAACGCAATTCCGTTAGCTAATTTTCATTCCGGTCTTTGATGTCAGATATTTTATCTCGTTGCGCTTTTTCTGGTTTTCAGAAACCACTTTGACCTGTTGAATAACGTTCAGGGTTGTGTTCAATTGGTGGTTTCCCTTAAAATGTTCTGTCTTGTTTGATTTTGATATTGAAATCTGATGAATTCATCAAAAATGTTAGGTGGTAACTACTCACATGATGTGTGATGGTTCCTGCTAGCAGGGTGTAGTAGCTGCTTCGGTGTGTCATAGAGTTTGCGCGTGTGCGTGTCCGTTCGTCGTTCCACCACCGATCTGGCGTGGCTGATTGGGTGCGTTTCCGATTGATTTGCTCACGTGACTGGCTTGTAGGTGGACTGGATATGTGACTCAGTTGTTTTCTGACCCGTCACGAAGGCGGACCAGTTTGGCCGCGTGTACACAATGCACCCGTGTCCGTAATTACGTGTTCTTCTGACTTACTGTGAATTACAATACAGGGTATTCTCCGCCGATGACATTTGAAACAGGAACTAAAACAGCTACGTACCGAAGGTTACAGGTGGTTCTACCGGGCCGTGAAGATGTTTGATGAAGTGCGTTCAGGGTAACGAACACGTTGATTGTTGCTGTCTCAAGACACCCGGTTTTCTCGTCCCAGAATTCCCATCAGGGACGATGGCCATTACCAGCCCAACTGAATTTGCTTGCTAGGACTGTTATACCACGCTACCAAGTGGTTGGATTAAATTTGTCGCTACATGGTACAGGGCTGAGTGAGAATGTGTTAGGCGGAACGGATCCCTGTTTACCGCTCGCACACCTGTTTCTGCTACGGGCGAGAAGTCCATCCCACGCAAGAGTGGTCAAGAATTCGGGACGCTTGCCGGCCCGGCATCAAGACGAGATCTGATTGGTCGAAGGTCCAACAGCCAATCATGACCAATCATTGGCCGAATGCCGGTTGCCAATGGCGCATCCAGAACGCGTCAGAATTTCCAGAAAATTATTGCCGCCTCCGCTATAACTATGAAGCGCTGTGCACGCTGTTCCTGACTTCTTTTTGGGTGTTAATATACCTTGTACATCTTTGGTGGTTGTTTTGACGTGAACGCCAGCTTGGGAGGCTCAGACCGAGAACTAAGATGAGAAAAATACCGTTACTACAGAATGGCCGTTTAGGTACATGTTTGAACTGGGAATCGGAACGTGTGGTCTTAGTAGCACCTTTTCAGGCGTGAACTGCTCGTCAGTGTGTGAGAACGTGGAAATTTATGGGGTTTTTGTATAAGTTTATAAAAACTCATTTCTACGTGTTTCCGGTCCACCGAAATCTGCTCTCATTCACTGTTGAGAGCGCAAATTCACTGGCAGGATGGTCTATTGTTCGAACCCGACCTCTCCATCTCGAATGCTCCAGACAATACCGCAATCCTCATGCATTTTTCGGGGGTCACGACACCTCAAAACGGTGTCACAGCTGAGAGAGAATTTAGTCCGGGATATGCGCTCAGCGTCATAAACCGCAGTGTCACATTCGCGATACGGCTGGAAATCAATGAATTCAAATGTGAAACATGAAGCGATCAATCATACTGCGTTCTGATGAAGTGTTGTCCGTTCTCTTGAAGTAACACTACTCATAAAGTTACTGAAAACTCGGCAACCTTGGGAAGTATACTGCGATATCTTGAATATCGTACCAACTGATACATGACGCGCCCTGGTACAGCACATTCAGGTGAAGAACAGCATAAACGGTGAGTCTGACTTGCATATGAGTGTATTTTTGAACTTTGTGCAATTTGGATTGAAGTTGATTGACGGAAACTCGTGGACTGCGCCTACCTGATGAGCCTCAAGATGAGCGGAACCAGTTGTGAAATGTCAAACAGTTTTCAGATGGTTTATGATTAGGATGTCTTCAAGATCGTTTCCGGAGAGTGCTGTTTCCCAAACTGACCCCTGTTGCACAATTACTGTAATTGCAGAAACTGCTACGTTCAAGGCTCACGTGAAAAGTTCTAGGCGGCCTAAAAATGATACCAAAACCGGAACTCATTTCTCAAGGAAGAACAACCAATCAAATCTGTCCCACCGACACCGGTTGATCCAATCAAATTCTAATACCAACCGAAATTCCCATTGGTTGCATTCGTGTCGCGTTGACGTATAGAAACCGTTGCAAGAATAGTCCGCCTGATCACCGGCATTGAATGCGATCGAAACAGTGTTTAAACGGCGATTTTGTGACACAGCTAGCTCACATTTCCAACGACTGACAAACACGCAGGAAGGAAAGGCTATTTTTGCAGTAAATAGCGCGGGCGAATTCTGTTTGATTACATCGATCCTCATGGCTTCAGCATCGATACTAATCGGAATCTAATTGACCTCGTCCAGCCTGAAGGCATCCGGTAGATAACAAAAGGGGTGTTCTTCTTCCGTAGGGAGACTAACCTAAGCCAGATGTCACACAATATCAGCTGAGATGCTATTCTTTGTCTACGTCTCATCGGATACCTCACACAACTGGGGGAACGGGAGGCAAGTGGTCGAATTCGTTAGCTCGTACCCTAGTTGGGAGTTGAGCTAAAACTCAGGTGAAGATGAGAGAACTTTTAGATTATATCGCACAAATTTCTTAGCCTCTTCGCAATCGAGATAGCAAATGAGACTCCTTCAAGTGAGGGGCTGAGGTAGGTTTTTAATTTGAAATTGTTTTAACGGCCATCCCAAACAAATGCTTCCTTCAGGCAATCGTCAGAACCGTCGTACTGGGTTTCAACTCTGTTCCAGCACTGTCGAACTATTATCCTGTCAATATCAGCTTTCTGTGTACTTTGTCCTGAGCTCCTGCGTTCGACCCCTCAGTTGGATTGACGTCGGCAAAGTGCTGTTGGCCATCTTACTAGGGTTACAACGTAGAATGAATATTAGTGAAGTAACTAGGTTGAAAGCTTCCAAGACAGACTCCGCGATCACAAAAGGGGCATCTGTGAGGTGACAGCATCAGTGACAATGTTAGACTGTCGAAACAAATGATAGGTTTTACAACCTGTCCGGAGTCTCATAGGAAGGAACACTGCGGGATCCAAGTAAAACGTCATCTCTTTGTTGGCGTGTATTAAAACGTACTTATACCTGTGTAACAGTAGATACTACTGACGAGGTATGCGAGTAGTATGTTTTCTCGTATGAGGGTTTTGCTCCTCTGTCCAATAGTCTGTAACTGTTCAGTTGATGTTTCTCCGTAGCGATGGTTTCCTTCCTTTAACTTGTAGCGTGGGATTACAAACTGTCATCTGAGCTCTAGAAGTGGAATATCAGTGTTTCCGTGAACGCACTCAATCTTTTGCGCAATCTGTTGGTGAGAAATGGGACTAAGTCGAGAGAAAACATCTGCGAACCGTCACTCCAGTGCAGTCGGTTCAGTTTTTTAGTTCACAAAACCTGCATCGATGGGCATTGTTTCTAGCTGCTACAGAATCGTTTACCGAAGTTGAGGAGTACAAAGGAATGGAAGCCACACGTTGGAGGCGATGCCCCAATCAATAAACTGACATCAACTGGTACCGCTCATCCGGTATGGTGGAGAACGGGGAGCTAGATAGTGAAGGTGATAACTTTGATGCAAGATCGCCGTTGGCTGCGTGACCACGCCACATCTCTCTGAGTAACTAAACACTGGTTTGTTTTCTATAGAGGAAAATGTTGGTAGCTCAGGTAGCGTAGACGGTCATTGGCTTGTTCGCTGATTGCAAACTTTTTATCACCAATCGGGGTGACATCGTAGTGGTGCGTAGCGGTGAGTTAGTGGTCTTCCCACGGTCCCAAACTGGGAATACGGCACTTACCAACACGGCTGAGTTGACGATGAAGACTTTTGTGATTCGTTGCCAAGTCCTGGGCTGATCATCATGGTGTCATATTTATCCTATATAAGACTGGACGAGATGGACCTACGAGACAAAAGATCCTCTGGCAAATGTAGGATGAGGTTTAACAAGCACAACCTGTGGAGTCTCACCAGCTGATCAACCGAGTGAAATTTTCCAAAAAATATCTGGAATACTTCAAAATTACTGATCTGATATTCTCAGCACACTGGAAAAGTGCTTCGTAGGCACCTATGGTTAAACAAAGGGGGCTTCGAATGTCCTACACACGCAGCAGCCCCTTCTGTGACCCGTGGATTAGGACTCACTGGACCGCAGCAACGTACGTGCTACCCTTGAGAGTCAGCTGATATCAGATCGGCGCCGCTAAATTCGGAAGTCATCACACGCTGCCATGAGCTGCCCGATTCGGGAAGAGATGTTGTCTTTCACCAGACCGCAACAGCCCAGATAAACAAGATCATCTACTACAATAATCGATTCACCAACAAAAAAGATGTTTGAATTTGATCCCACCCAATGTTGCACCAGAATCATCTAGGTTATTTTGAAATAGTTTGCGTTTCTGAAAGGTTTGATGCAAGGACAGCGATATGGTCGGCGTAGAGAATATCCGTGAGCCATGAAAATGTTTCGAGCTTTGAGGTGTTCGATGCAGGTGAAGTGGACACTGACTATGAAGTTGAAGAGAAAGAACGACAAAAGACATCCTTCCTTGACACCACTGGAAGTAGTCAACTCACAAGAGCATTTACCGTAAACGGGGACGTGTCCACGGAAAGGGGTATATAGAGCCCTTATAAGGGGCACCATTTACTGCCGGATACTCCCATAGTTTCCGACGATCCTCGGCGCCAAAACCAGATCTATAATCGAGAAAGACAACTATTGTCGTCATCGGAATGCGTGGCTCAGCTCCAGCACTTGCCGCAAAATGAAGATATGATCAATGAAACCCCGGCTAGGGTAAAACCCAACTTCGTTCTCGGGAATGTCTCTCCTGATGATGGATCATCCTGGTGGTCCCTGAGCGGCTTCCTTACACCCTTTTTGAATACGAAAATTACCGTTCCGTCGGTTTGTTTTCACCTCATTCTAGATACTTTGGAGTAAAGTTGTCATGATAGCCACGAGGACCTCACCAACTTCTTCGAAGTGTGCAGGATGTAAACCATCTAGATCAGGCGGTTGGTTGCGTTGAATGAATGAGGTTGCACACTGGTCGCCTCCTAGATGCTAGACTAGGCGGGACACTCTAACTGGGTGTTTTTTATAAAGTTCTTCGGATCACAGGAGAATTTGAGGATGG